CAGATTGGTGGGGTATTCATTCAGATTGGTGGGGTATTCATTCAGATTGGTGGGGTATTCATTCAGATTGGTGATGTATTTATTCAGATTGGTGGTGTATTCATTCAGATTGGTAGGGTATTCATTCAGATTGGTGGGCTATTCATTCAGATTGGTAGGGTATTCATTCAGATTGGTAGGGTATTCATTCAGATTGGTAGGGTATTCATTCAGATTGGTGGGGTATTCATTCAGATTGGTAGGGTATTCATTCAGATTGGTAGGGTATTCATTCAGATTGGTAGGGTATTCATTCAGATTGGTAGGGTATTCATTCAGATTGGTAGGGTATTCATTCAGATTGGTAGGGTATTCATTCAGATTGGTGGGGTATTCATTCAGATTGGTAGGGTATTCATTCAGATTGGTGGGGTATTCATTCAGATTGGTGGGGTATTCATTCAGATTGGTGGGGTATTCATTCAGATTGGTGATGTATTCATTCAGATTGGTAGGGTATTCATTCAGATTGGTAGGGTATTCATTCAGTTTGGTGATGTATTCATTCAGATTGGTGATGTATTCATTCAGATTGGTGATGTATTCATTCAGATTGGTGATGTACTCGTTCAGATTGGTGGGGTATTCGTTCAGATTGGTGGGGTATTGATTCAGATTGGTGGGGTATTCATTCAGATTGGTAGGGTATTCATTTAGATAGGTGGTGTACTCATTCAGATTGGTGATGTACTCGTTCAGATTGGTGGGGTATTGATTCAGATTGGTGGGGTATTCATTCAGATTGGTGGGGTATTCGTTCAGGTTGGTGGGGTATTCATTCAGATTGGTTGTGTATTGATTCAGATTGGTGGGGTATTCGTTCAGATTGGTGGGGTATTTGCAGCTGCACAATACCCCTGCAGCCATGCACTGAGCTGAGAGCTTGCAGCACAAAACCATTTCCAGTTTTGCTTTTCCACCAGGACTCCAGCCTGTTCGAGTTACTTTTTCCCCAATAACTCAGTGCAGGCACTGAATTGATGTGTGTGTCCTTGCCCTATAAAATACTGGTGTGCTTTCATCCAAACCTCGCAGGCTGTGAGAATCCCTTCACACCTTCCGCAGGAAGCCAGCTTTCTCAATCAGCGTTGGTTCAGACTAGGAGGAAGGGTTGTAAAGAGACCTTTGCTGTCTGAGGGCTCCCAGTGGTGGTCCCTTGAGCAGCCAGGCTGAGTAAATGTGGTGTGTGGCTGTCAGGTGAGTCCATAACCCTGTTGTGCAGATGTGGAACCTGCCTGCCCCCATGCGAGTGAGCGACAGCGGGTGCCTGCACCCGGCTATTTCTGACCCAGACAACTGCCCCCAGCCCAGGATCACCATTTCCCCTTTCGGTTCTTAGCTCCTCTGCAGCATTTCCTCTCTAAGGTTTTTCAGGCATAGACACTGGCTGTAATCATAAAGGAGATCACAGTCAGTTGCCTCTTTGTGGTTCTATTTTGCCTACCTATGGGCCAAAAGCTGGGGACCCAATAAAATAACAACAGGGAAGTCTTGCTCACCTCACAGTGTATTTGTGATTGCTTGAGCAAAGCAGGGAACAGGACATAGACAGGGTTTCAGCTGCAGAGGTCTCGGATAATGATCCATAAAATTAGTTCAGGCTGAAAAATGATTCCTTCCAAGCAGCCCAAGCATGAAGGTATCAGCTTTCTGTTGAGCCTTAGGTCTCAGTCCAAAGGTCTTGAACAGGACATAGGCTTTCTTAACTGTGCTCTGATTCTTAGGTAGCACCTGTGATCTCAGCAGGATCCCTGCACCTCCCTTCCAGAGCACAGCTCCTGCAGGGTGCTACAAGGAAATGCATCCTATGTGAACAGCAAGGTTGGATTTGCCTTTAGCTGCCCACTGGCCCAGACCCAGAGACAGAAGGAGAGCATCAAGGAGGCACGTTCCCTAACTTCCCATTCCATGCTGTAATGGAAAATGGTTCATCAGCCATCACCAAGGAAACAGGGAACAGGTCAGAATATGCTGCTTTACCTGGACTCAGGGTTTGGGTTCTTACAGAAACCGTGTATTTAGAGTTAATTCATAGGAAAATTCCTGCTTGGCCTGAAAAGTTGGCCGGGGTTCTGTGGATACTGAAGCTACTACCAGAAAACAACTGGATTTTACTATGCAGTGACTCATGGATTGTCATTCACTGGGTTTAGATGTGTGTTTTCACTGCCGGCAGTACTCCAGCCATGCCTGCTCTCTACCAAACTGATGGTAGATTGACACAGAAGAGAAATCCAGTTTAGTTTAAACCAGTGTCGCCGGTGGCACACTGTGCTGCTGCCGGAGCTCTTGGCTTGTCCCATCCCACAGAGAAATCGTTCCCCAGGGAGCTGCAGTTTAATCTATGTCCTTACTGTTGAGGAGAGCCCTGCAGAGGAGCCGCTGGAGGAGGATGAGCCAGGAGATGGCAGTGGAGCTGATCGCTGCCTGCTTCTCCAGGCAGCAAATGAGGCGGATGAAGGAAGGCAGCTTCTGCTCTGCCTGTATCCAGGCTGGAATCCAAAGTAACCCACTGAAGCAGGAAACATCTCCAACGTGCAGCTTGTTCCTAACTCATTGCTGATGCCCTGGTCCCTCAGGCGGTCACGCTGCTGAAGTGCTTCCCTGATGAGAGCCACTGGAGCACTATGTCCGTGTTGCAGTGACTCTTCATGGCTCTTGCCAGCTCAGTTGTCTGAGCTCCTTTAGGAACTGCACTGAGGCAGAGCCCAGTTTTGTCCTCGAGTGTTTTCTAAACGCACTCAGCAACTGGAGGCTGCAATGAGACGTTTGTCACCCCTGTCAGTCTGTTCAGAACCCATTGTGCTGATCGGTGTCAGTTATATTGGGTGACTGGCAGGGAGTCAGAGGCTTTTGGGGCTTGGTCTATGGCAAAGCAGACTGAGATTGGACTTGCTTCCGTAGGTGAGAATAGGATTTCCAGCAGGATGAGGGCAGCGTGCTCTAGGAGAGCTGCAGGTACTGAGAGCATCACCTTGCTCTGCTCACCAGCACGGTGGTGAGAGCGTAGCCAATGTGTCCTGTGTGGAGATGATCAGTGTTACCTGGGCATCTCCTGTGCCACCTCAGCAGAAGCTCATCCCATCGGATGAAAAGCCCGATCTTGCTGCCTACATTTCCTGTTTTCTCCATGTTATATAGAACTGAACATATAAAATAGGTTGGCTGCTGATGGGCAGTGACCTAACCACTGCTCTGGTGAGTCCTTATTGATGACTTTCAATGCTAAATACAAGACCTAAGCCCACGTCAACAGGAGAAACGCAGGGAGGCTCCATGAGGTGAATGGAGCTCACTGTTGTCTTGCTTGTTAGCTCTTGAGGGTTTTCCTGATATTGACCATATAAATATTATTCAGCCACCAAACTTCTGTTGCTATAAAAGACACTGTTAGAGAACATTGTTGAGACAGCAGGAAGTGACTGGCTGCAATTGATGGTTCCTGTATCCATCTGCCTTGGAGACTGAGCCATAGGGATGGTAAAGGAAAGCTTTGGTTTTACACAGAGCCCATGGGCACAGGGGGGTCTGGCACAGATTCCATGGGTAAGCCATAACCCAGCTCGCTCTGTGCGCTGCAGGACGGAGGTGAAGCAGGGGAGGGATGTGCCACAGGAAGTGGATGCTGCGGGCTTTAGCGCTGGTTGTTGGGTGCTGATGCAACCTCGGTGGTGAGAAAACGGGACCCGCTCCAAGGGAAACGTGCACCGGGCGAGGGCCGCCTGCCTGTCCCGGGCTGCCTGGAGCCGGCTCAGCCCATGCAGCAGGCGCTGTCCTCACTTGCTCTCCACGGTTCTCAACAGTGGAAAATCACTGGGATAGGAGGATCACTCCCTGCCAAGCTCCTCCGTCTGCCATGGGTCGGGAACGAGCTTTGCCCCACTCCCCATCAGGGGGAAGGAGATGGGAGGCAGGAGAGAATTTGCCCTTTTGAGGGTCGCGTACCCCCTGCTGTGGTTTGAACACGGCTGCTGGGTTAACAAGGGCTGGTCTAGCTCCGAAGGTGGGGAATGCGTTGAGCACTCATAGCCCACACTGCCGGGGAAGCGGGGTGTGCTCTGCCTCAAGCCCCCCTGGATGCCTCTGGCTCCATAAGGGATAGAACACGCCCCTGGTAGCCGGGCTGGTGCTGGGGGAGGCTGCTGCTGCTGGTACCTAGCGGAGGGTGTCCTTTAGCAGCGGGGCGAGGCTGAAGGGCTCAGAATAGCAGCGGTTTGGCCGCAGCAGCGCTCGGGGCTCTGAACGGTGCCAGCCGGGGGGCAATGGAGAGCTTCGGGGGCTGCAGCCTGAGCTCGACGTGGCGGCGCCCGGAGCAGCGCCGGGCACAAAACCACGGCCTTTTTGCAGAGCTTTGCCCTTTTATTTGCGTCCTTCTATTCTCGAACGTCCCTAATTAAAGGCAAGGCAAAACCCAGCCTCTGACGGGCGCGTCCCCTCCCTGCCTCCAGCCTCGGAACAAGCGCGGCTTTATGCGGTTATCGCCGCAAATGAGAGCTCCTGCAAAGCCACCGATACCGCGGCACCGCCGCCCTGCAGCCCAGGGCAGGACATTGGGCTGCGGGCGCGCCTCTGCCATCACAACCCCCTCACACCCCCCGCCCGTTTATGGGGAACGCCGGTCTTGGGCATTGCCGGGGGCTGCTTGTTTTGGGGCAAAATCCCCCCAAAACGGTTAAATTGTTTCTTAATGATGGTTTTACTGATGCTCGGGGGGGGGGAGCCCGTTTAGTGAGTGTCCCCCCTCGCGGGGAAAGGGGCGTGTCTCCGCCAGGTCCCGCCCCCTGTGTACGGGTCGGCGCTGCTGCCATTGGCTGAGCGGGCTGCGACGTATACGGACTGCGGTTGCTCCGCGGGGCTCCGTTTGCGTCGCCTTAAAGGGGCCGCGCTCCCGGCAGCCCCGGCAGCGGCGCCGGCCCCGCCGCACAGCACCGAGCACCGAGCACCGAGCACCCGCCGGTGCCCGGCCCGAGCAGCGGCCGAGGGGCTGCGGCCGCCCCCGCAGCCGCCGGCACCGGGGCGGTTCCGACCCGGTAAGGAGGCTCCGGGGCTTGGTCGGTGCGAGGCGGCACCGGGGCGGCCGCTGCCGGTACCGGGAGGCGCCGACCTGGCGGGAGGCTCCGAGGAGCCGTGGCCGGGTGTGGGCTCCGGGAGGGGCCGATCCTGCAGCACCCTGCGGGGAGCGGGCGGTACCGGAGCGCCCGAGCGTGAGCGGGGCCGGGGCGCGCCGGTGCCTGCACCAGAGCAGCCGCCGCTGTCACTCGGCGCTGGCACCGGCGCCGGTGCCCTGCAGGGCGCGAGGCCGCGGGATGCGCGCTCCCGGCGGCGGCTCCGGTACCGCAGAGGGGGGGATCCGGTTTCGGACTCCCTCAACCCGGCACCCGCATCGGTTCTGGGGTGAAACCCGCGTGTTTTGGGGCTGTTGGGGGCAGCGCGGAGAGCGCCGGGGGCTGCGGTGACGCTGCGGGTCGGGAGCAGCCACCGTAAACCCGGGGTGCCCGGGACCACGTCCCCGTCCCCTGGGGCTGGGGTGAAGCAGGAGCCGCGGAGCAGGGGAAGGGGTGTGGTGGCACCGGGCAGGGCTGGCTGAGACCCCCCCGGGCAGGAGGACTTTATCCTCTTGCTCTGCCCTTAATCCTGGTCTGGGAGGAGGGCACTTGCGTTTGCCTAAAGTCAGTGGTGAAATTAGGGTGAAAAACGTTAAAATCGGGCAAAAGCTGGGTCTGGCGGGTGAGAAAATCCAGCCCCGGGGCTGTGCCTGCGGCTGGGAAATGCCCCCGGGTCCCCTCCGCAATTCCCGGCTCCGGGATCGGGCGCTGATCCCCGTGCGCACGGCGGAGGGCGGGGGGGGCAGCTCCGCACCGCTCCTCTGCGCGCACTTGTCCTGCCCTGACCCCTCCCCAGGCTTGAGGCTGCAGCGATAACGGGGGTGGGGAGGACCCCGGGAGGGCTGGGAGCGAAGCTCAGGGGAACAGGGCCAAAGCAGGCTGGGGCTGAGCCCAGCAGCGGGTTCTGCTCCTCACCCCGCGCTCGGTTGGATCCTTTCCTGTTTGATGGGATTAAGGAGCAAATCCCCCTCTTCTGCTCTGTTCCCACACCCAGGCTTTGCATCATGGTGGGAAGCGCGGCCGCTTTTCCCTTGGCTTGCAGGGAGTCCCTGTTCTGTGGACGCTGGACGGACGCGTTCCCGGGAAGCAGGCGCCGGGTGAGTCATCTCCGTGCAGAAATAGCTCCGCTGGGAGCAGTGGCACCATCCCCATGGGATTCACTTCTCCCTGCTCCGGATGGAGCCATGCCCCGCCGTCACCGGTGTGCCCGCTGATAGGGACTGGAGTCACAGAGGGCTGGGAGCTGCCCTGTCCTGCATGGGGCAGAGCCAGGGGTTGGGGTCCCACAGCTGGGCTCGTCCTTAGTGAGCACTGGTTTATTAAATCCCTCCCAATGCTGGGATCTCCCTTTTCTGTATCCTAAGGGGAAAACAGCACATACAGGAAGGGCATCATTTGCCCCACAGCCCCCAGAGGTAAATCCCATCCCATGTCTTTATTCCCTGAATAACCCTGGTTTAGGTTTTAATATCTCCTTTGCATACAAGCAATGCACATTTGGATGCAGTGAATTGAGGGCAGAGAGCAGAAGGCAGCTCTTGCAGGAGCGTGCTGGGATGCTCTGGTCTCCTGCTGGTGGATGGGAGGGAGCAGCATTGTCCAAGCGGACTTCATGGATTAGCATTTTCCTTAGAATTCCCACAGAAAACGGCCCAGGGGGCTCTTTCCTCCCCACAAACTCACCAAGGGAAGCTGAATCCAGCAGGCTCCGTGCAGCTGCACTGGGACACTGGGGCAAGGAGCCCAATGCAGCAACTGGGAGCAGTTGGATTTATCCCTGCTGGGGCTCACGATGCTTTAGGAAGAGCAAAGGAGCCCTGGGGAGCTGCAGGGACCTGTGCTGAGGGTGGTGATGGGCCAAGGAGGGAGCCAGGAGAGACCAAACTGGTTTTGCTCCAGTTTCTGATGTAGAACCATGGAACCCCAGTCTGGTTTGGGCTGAAGGGACCTCAGCACTCATCCAGCCCCAAGCCCTGAACGGGCAGGGGCATCTTCCACTGGAGCAAAACACAAGGACCTTGGGCCCAAAAGAGCTTTCCCAGTGAGGGTCCCCCTTGTCCCTTCGTGTGCCCACAGTGGTGTCCACAGTACCAGTGAGCCCATTCCCTGTAGCACAGTCTCCTTAAGGCTTTGACCCAAGTTCTTTTCTCACCGCTGGCAGCTCTTGAGGGCCTGAAACAGAGCCCCAAAGGACAATTCTTCTTTCACGTTTGGTCTTTTTCTGTTTCTCTGCCTCCGGACCTGCAATTTGTGGTGGCTGGTCCCACGCCCAGGCTAAATGGAGCATTCCTTGGCTTCAGTGATGCCTGCAAACACCCCTTGGCTTCCAATGGGGGCTTCCACAAAGCAGTGCCTGGTGCCTGCTGGGAGGCTCCCCAGGGCCCGGGGCTCCAGCTGGGCTCTCATCACGGTTGTGGTTTGTGCTTCCAGCACCGTCCTGGGCCACGCTGGTGCCCAGAATGGGTTGGTGCTGGGCTCCCGTCCAGCCCAGGCCCCCACAGAGCACCTTGGGCTGTGAAACCCCCCCTGCTGCTGGCGGCCAAAGCACTGCAACGCTCCCGGCCCGGCCGAGCCGTGCTGCTGGAGCCCGGTTCAAGTCACCCCAGTCCCAGGGGGTCACTGCTCTGCCTGCTCCATGCCGGGAGGATGCCACCATTGGAAAACCCATCCTGAGCTGGGATAACAGTGGGAAAGCGAGGGCACCATTGGAACAGAGTGTGTGGAGCTGGGGTTGATGGCTGAGCCGTGCTGCTGGAGCCCGGTTCAAGTCACCCCAGTCCCAGGGGGTCACTGCTCTGCCTGCTCCATGCCGGGAGGATGCCGCTGTTGGAAAACCCATCCTGAGCTGGGATAACAGTGGGAAAGCGAGGGCACCATTGGAACAGAGCGTGTGGTCCTGGGGTTGGTGGCTGAGCCACGCTGCTCCCTGCAGCAAAGCCCGGGCACTCGGGGGAATTAAGAGGGCTCAAAAGCATTAAAGGGGCCCTGCAGAGGCTCCTTTAATTCCTCCGTTCCCGGGAACAAAGGTCCCGAGTTTGGGAACTGGCTGCAGGACCCGGCTGTGCCCTTTGGTGCCGGACCCATTAACACCCCCCTGTTCCTGGTGCTTTGCAGGCGGAGGAGCCCTGAGCGCTGCCTTCAGCGAGCCGCTGCCCGCAGAGTGATGCTCTTACCATGAAGAGGTGCTGTGAGGGCGTGGGGCTGCCATGCCTCTTTAAGGTCAGTGCCATGTGCACCCACATCGTCCCCTCTCAGGAGCAGGAATTGGGGTCCCCATCCTGCAGGTCTCTGGTCGGGATCATGGGAGCACTGGGAGATGCTGCAGGGGCCGTGATGGCTTTAGAAGGGAGGCTCCGTGCCTGCTTTGGGGGTTAGAGCGGGGCAGGAGGAAGCTCTGAGTTATCCCAGGCTTTGTGGTGCCTACAGAGCCCAACCGGGGGGGAGCTGTGCCCGGGTGATGGAGCAAGAATCAGCTTGCAAAGTGTTTTCCTATTGGGAAGAGCCAGACTGGTCCTGCAGGGACACAAACCCCCTTTTGGGGTACCCCTTTGGGATAAACCCACCCCAAAGCGTCCCTAGGAGGGACGGATGCGGTGCTTGCTCAGCCCAGTGACCCCTTGACTGCAGGAACGGGATTAGAGCGGGCAAAATGAGCTCTTTCTAGGCAGGATAAAGGCCTTAGGGCCGGGGTGAGGATGCCAGCAGGGATTAGGTGCCCCCATCCCGGAGCCTCGCTGGGCTCAGCCGGCCAAGGAGCACGGCAGGGGCAGCACCGCGCGCTAACAGCAGCATCATCCCGCACCCGCAGGGTGTCGGCATGGCCGGTGCCCGGCCCCCCCGGTTCCTCCTTGTCTTTGACTTCGACGAGACCATCATCAACGAGAACAGCGACGACTCCATCGTGCGCGCGGCGCCGGGGCAGGCGCTCCCGGAGCACATCCGGCAGACCTTGCGCGAGGGCTCCTACAACGAGTACATGCAGCGGGTGCTGGCCTACCTGGGGGAGCAGGGCGTCAAGATGGGCGCCTTCAAGAGCGTGTACGAGAGCATCCCCCTGACCCCCGGCATCCCGGAGCTCTTCCAGTTCCTCTCCAAGCACCACGAGCTCTTCGAGGTCATCCTCATCTCCGACGCCAACATGTTCGGCATCGAATGCGCCCTGAAGGCGGCCGGGGTCTACTCCCTCTTCCGCAAGGTCTTCAGCAACCCGGCCAGCTTCGACAAGAGGGGGTACCTCACCCTGGGGCCCTACCACAGCCACAAGTGCCTTGACTGCCCGGCCAACATGTGCAAGCGCAAGATCCTGACCGAGTACCTGGCCGAGAGAGCGCAGGAGGAGCTGGAGTTCGAGAGGGTTTTCTACGTCGGAGATGGTGCCAATGACTTCTGCCCTGCGGCTGCTCTGACCGCTGCTGACGTGGCCTTCCCACGGAAGGGCTTCCCCATGCACCGGCTCACCCAGGACATGGAGAAGAAGCAGCCGGGAGCCTTCCAGGCCACCGTTGTCCCTTGGGAATCGGCTGCGGAGGTCGCCCGCTACCTGCAGGAGCTCCTCAGGAAGTGCTGATGGCTCGGAAGGGACCTGGGTGCTCGGAGAGGGTGGGAGAGGAGAGGCCTGGGGGGGGTCACACCATGGACCCGCTCCCGGGCTCCTTTCCCCTCCAGCTCCTCCTCCCCACTGGTACAAGCACTTTCCCCAGGTCCCCCTTCCCCTGCCCCATGGAGGTGAAGCCTCCTCTATGCACTCGGTGTTTGCCAACGCTAAAGGTGATTTGGGAGGGGGGAGGTTTGGTTTTCTTCCCTTCCCCTTTTGACTTCACAAGAGCAATTCCCAAAGGCCCAGGCTGGGTCCTCCCCACGGCTGGGCCCTGCACGTGCTTCCTCGCGCCTTCATCCTCCTCAGCCGCCCGGCCTGGCCATGAGCTGCCTGCCGCTGCCTTCATCCCGATGCTCCAGGGCTCTGCCTCTTCACGAGGCCACTGGAAATGGAACCCGGGGAATCTGAGCTGCCCGAGCTCCCCCTCTGCATCCCAGCCCCGCTCCTGGGCCTGGCGATGGAGGCATCGTCCCTTGGGACCTGACTCCCTGAACACCCCTGACCCGAGGAGCAGGAAGCCTTTGGGAAGGTGGCACCTGGGGAAACGCCTCCTCCAGCCCATCCCCAGGGCACTGCAACTGCACCCGAAGAGGAGGAGCTGCCCTTGCCTTCCACTGCCACCCTCTGCTTCTGCCTCCAGGGCAGGTTCCTCCTCATCCCGAGCCATCACCGGTGACCTCCCGGTGTGCGCTGGTTCAAACCAGCTCCCCTCGGCCCCTGGGGATGGGTTTCCCTCCTGCCCTGGTTGGGAGGTGCTGAGCACTGCCCCTGCCACCAGGTCCCCTGTTCCCTGCACTATGAACGGCCCCTTCCAGGCGCGCTGCAGAGGGGACCTTCAGCCTTCGCTGCTCTCTGGAGTTGGCTTCTCCCGGGTTTCTCCACAGCCTTAATGGCCCCTGAGGGTGGCGGAAACCCCTCCACAGCATCGGAACCCCGGCACAAACCTGGGCAGTGATAACCAAAGCAGCCCCGAGTCGTTCCTCCTCTTCCTTCATTCCCCCCTCCCCGTTCTTCCTCCTCTGGACCCTCTTCAACTGTGTTGGAACTTAAAGCCATGGAATTAAAGAAATGCATATCTGTGTATATGGATACAGAGCTGTATATTGCACACACGAGGTGTTTGTATCCAGGCCATAAACCTGGGTGTGCAACAGCTCCGTACGTGTTTGTTCCCTTCCTTGGGCCGGTGAAAGGGGGAGGAAGGTGATGGAGGGGGAGCAGCAGCGTGGGGCCAGGCTGCAAGCGATGCTCTGCAGGAGGGAGCCCCTTGGGTACCCCTTTGGTGGAGGATTGGGCTCATCCCTTTCTGCATCTCAACAGGCACGGGCACAGGGTGCCCAGAGAAGCTGTGGCTGCCCCATCCCTGGCAGTGCTCAAGGCCAGGTTGGACACAGGGGCTTGGAGCAAGCTGCTCCAGTGGAAGGGGTCCCTGCCCGTGGCAGGGGTTGGAGCTGGAGGAGCTTTAAGGTCCCTTCGAACCCAAACCAATTCTGCAGCTCAAGCTGATGGGGAATGGGCAGCAGGTTCCTGGGGCTGGGAGCATCGCCAGGATCAGCCCATGGGGACCAGCGTTTCCATCCCAGTACCTGCAGCAACCGATGCTGCTGCCATCAAATACACAAAGCAAGCGCAGGGGATGCTCTGATTCGGAGGCGAAGCGCAGCAGGAGCTGATCCAGGTGGGGATGATTCCTGCTGGGATTGCAGGGGGCTCACAAGGGCTCCACGTAATTGCCAGGGAAGAATCCCGCTTCCTGGCCCATGACACCCTCACACCAGCCGTCCGAGTGGCGCCGGGTGACGAAGAGGAGGGCACCGGGCTGGAAGGAGAGCTCGTTGTCCTGCTGCTGCGTGTAGGGGTACAGGGCCACCACTGTGAGAGGAGGGAGGGAAGGGCCATGGAGCCTCTGCCGGGGCTGCTCCGGGTTCACTCCAGCCCCAGGGCAGAGCCGGGCCCTGGGTGCTGTGATCTGGGCTCACCCAAGAGCACCCTGGCAGGGATCAGGGATGGGGGGATCCAAGGGACCTTTCTCCACGTAGCTCTGTGGGGCCCAGGGGGGGTCCTCTGCAGGGGGGGGTGGCAGTGGGGCCACATCCTCTGGGTCAGGCAGAGCTGGAGGTGGCGGCGGCGGCAGCTCGAGGTCATCGGGGGCTGCAGCATCAATGGGGGTGAGGGGCTCCATGGGGGACAGGGGCCACGCACGCTCCCCGTGAGCCCCCCGGGCCGAGCACCCCCGGGCTCACCTGGGGACAGGAGCTCCAGCGGGAGCAGCTCCGGGGGCCCGGGGAGCGGGGCTGGGGCTGGGGCTGGTGCTGGTGCTGGTGCTGGGATGGCGGCGGTGGGCGCTGGGCACGGTCCTGGCAGCGGTGGCGGTGGCGGGGGGGGGATGATGCCTTCACCAGGGGCCCCGCTGGAGCTGGGGGGCAGCAGTGATGGGGTCAGGGGGAGGCGAGGCTGGGGCCAGCTTTGCCCCCCCCCATTGAACAGGGACCCTTGGCCCATGCGGGGTGGGTGTCACTCAGTGGGGCAGGGGGTGCTGACGTGATGCAAACCCCTTCCCCACGCTGCGCCCCAGCCCTCCCCATCAGGGACCCTCTCCAAGAGGATGGGTGTCACTCAGTGGGGCAGGGGGTCCTGATGTGATGCAAACCCCTTCCCCACGCTGTGCCCCAGCCCTCCCCATCAGGATGGGTTTGCTCTAGAGACCAGCCCTGCCCAGAGCCACCGATCCCCAAAGCCCCGTTTGCCATCAACCCCCCTCTGCAGCAGTGACCCCCCCGCCCCCAGGCCCTCCCAGCCTCCCGCAGCACCGGTACCCGATGGAGATGGGCAAGGAGGAGGAGGAGGAGGAGGCCGCGGAGACCTTGCCCTCGGGAACCACCGGCGGCCGGACGGGCCCGGGGACGCGGCCGCTCCTCCTGCGGGCAGAGCAGGCGCTGAGCCCCAGCCTGGCTGCGGGGATGGGGCCGGGTTCCCGATGCCCCCAGCCCCGAGGCTCACCCCAGGGTGCCCGCAGCCTGCGCCGATGCCTTGGTCCCGTTGCGAGCCAGGGGTCCGGTGCGGGAGAGCTGCGCGCTGCGGTCCTGCGGGCGCAGGGAGCCGCGGGCTGAGGGCAGCGGAGCCGGGCACGGGAAGCGGCACCCCCGGCCCTGCGCTGGGTCCCCCATGGGAGCCGCGGGGCGGAAGGAGCCCAGGGAGGCGCCTGCAGCGTGGGAACCGCAGCCCCAGCGCTGCCGCTTCCCCCCCCCCCCGGCCCCACGGCGGCTCCGTGGGGACCGAACCCCCCCCCCAGCGCCTTCCTGTGCCGGGGACCCGGGGCCGCGCTTCCCCTGCGCTCCATTGGGCTGAGCCCCCCCTCCCTGCCTGGGACCACCGAGTCCCAATGGGATGAATGGGGGGGGGACGGGCAGAGCCCCCATTGAGCCGCTGTGAACCCAGCAGTGCAACGCTGGGAGCTGCGGGGAGCGCAGCCCCGGGCTCACCTTGACGCCGTGGCCGATGTGGTCCAGGACGCTGAAGTTGAGGGGTTTCCTGCAGTAGGGCTCCAGGCAGGGGGGGCTCGGGGGGGCCACGACCTTCTGGCCCGATGGGAGCCTGGTGCTGACGGCCAAAGAGCCGATCTCCCGGCGGGAAACCTTCTCCTTGTGCAGCTCAAGGCGCTGCGGAGGTGCCGCTGTCACCCCTGCCCCGTCCCGGGGCCTCCCCACCGCCCCTCCCAGCCCCATCTGTTGGGGGCGGATTGGGGGGACTGAGCCTGAACCCCACAGCCCGGCCACAGCCGCAAGGGCTGATCCTGTTCTGCTCCATCCTAAGTGATGCCCTCGGTGCCCGCACAGCAGATCTGGCCCTTCCTAAAGCAAGGAACGGGGCAGGGGGAGCCGTGGGCCTCAGCCACCCAAAGCTGTTTTCCTGCTGCTCCCAGTGTGATGCTGGGATCCCGTCTCCTCCCGTGGCTGGAAAAGCTCCAGGCGACTTCCAAGTGCCAGGAAGAGGGCGGGTGGTGACGGGAACCCACATCGGTGTCCCCAGGCTCCGGGAGGAGAGAGCCAGCCCCCAGCAAGGGCAGAGCCAGGCCAAGGCTCCGAGCCCCATCGCTTCACTTCAGAGCTTTCCCAGGCAGCTCCCATGGGACCCACCGGGATCTGTGAGTGCCCAGACCAGGAGAACACCCCAGAGAGCAGTGACCCAGCCCCAGATGGACTCATCCCCTGACACATTGGGGTCCACCAAGGACATGGTCTCACATCCCCACTGCCAGGTGATGCTGCATGGGGGGGGGGGGGTCTTTGTCCCCTCTGAGCTGCCCAAATCCCCCCTTTCCCACAGCCCCAGCACCGCGGGGTCCAACCTGCGCCACGCAGCTGATGTCGGCCTCCACCTTGCGCAGCTCGGCCGCCCGCAGCTCCAGCAGCCGCAGGAAGGCGCTGGCCAAGCCGCTCACCTGGTGGCTGACGCTGGCCAGGGACTGCGCGCTCAGCGCCATCGTCTCCTCCAGCGCCCGCCGCTGGTCGCTCGCCTGCAATGGGGGGGGGGGGCACGGGGAGCTCCACGTGGAGCCCCAAGGTCCCTTCCTTCTGCTTTCCAAATGCATCGAACTTCCCCCGGCCTCCCCTGCACCGGGGACGCGCTGGGGCCTCCCTGCGATGCTGCCGCTGCTGCTGCGTTGGTACCGCTCTGCTGGGGAGAGCCCAAGGCACCACCAGCACCGTGGGGACGGCGGCTCAGAACCCCCAGGTAGAACGGGCTGGGAAGGGACCTTAAAGCTCCTCCAGCTCCAGCCCCTGCCACGGGCAGGGACCCCTTCCACTGGAGCAGCTTGCTCCAAGCCCCTGTGTCCAACCTGGCCTTGAGCACTGCCAGGGATGGGGCAGCCACAGCTCCTCTGGGTCTCATCACGTTTCCCCTTCAGCTCCACTCTGGTAGCTCCAACCCCTCAGGAGCAGCCTCGGGGTCTGGCTTGAGCCTGTTTCACCCCAGAGGTCCCCATCCGGGACAAGCACCCGGTTCACCTCCACACCACCAAGAGGCACCCGCAGCCCCCTGGGGCCAACAGGGTTGTTGTCACAGGGGGATGATTCCCTCCATCCCAAACCCGCTCTGGGAACTGAGCACAAAACCCACCGTGGGGCAAGAGGGGAAATTGAGGCACGAGAGAACCCCCACGCATTGGGTAAGGGTCGCTCAGGCTCCCATCCGCAACGGCAGAGCCTTCCCATCACCGCCCAGGGACCACCAACCCCTCCACATCACCCCAGGGCTCACCCTCACCTGCAGGTAGTTGCTCTCGCAGTACTCGGCCACCCTTTGCAGGTTGCAGTGGTGCTGGCGCAGGGCCTCCCGCCCCGATGGGATGCGGCGCTGCAGCTGCTCCTGCTCCAGCTCCTGCTCCGGCTCCTGCTCCGGCTCCTGCTCCAGCTCCTGCTCCGGCTCCTGCTCCGGCTCCGCCATGGTGCGGGCTCTGCGCCCACTTCCTCCCCGGCGCCCTGCTTTGACGCTGACGCAGGGCCCCAGGGGCACCCCCACACCAGAGTGAGCTGGGGAGGAAGCCTCAGCCCCACGGGGGACGTGCGGGGCTCCCGGCAGCAGCAAAGGATGTGAGGCATGGACCCAAACCCACCCCGACCCCTGGGGCTGCCACCGGGTCCATGCACTGCTACTGCTGCTGGTGCTGCTGGTGCTGGTGCTGGTGCTGCTGGTGCTGGTGCGGGGCTCAGCCAGGCAGGGCCATGCCCCTTCCCTTCCCTTCCCCTCTCCGAGCCGGGCCGGGCTGGGCAGGAGATGCAGGCAAAGCCCCGCTCAGCACCACCCCGGCTGTGCCAAGAGCCCCCATGCAGGGCCCGTCCGCCCCTTGGCTGCTCACATCCCTGGGAGAGCCCGGGCAGGAAATCCCCCTCCTCCCGCAGGTGCTTCCCTGGGGCCTCCCCTGCTCTGTCCTCGGCCCCGGCTCCTCTGCACCCCCGGACAGGAGCAGAGCCCCTGCCCCGGCTCGGCCCTTCCTGAGCCCGTGGCCCCAGCAGCGCAGGGCCGAGGGAAATGAGGGATTTCCTCCGGCTCCTCACAGCCGGGAGGACCCAGAGCTGCTCCCGGCCCCCTGCGAGCTCCCCTGGCCCCGGCTCCTCTCCTCTCCCCCCCCTTCTCAACTCAGGGAAAGCTGCTCCAGGGCAGGACACGGTGCAGGAGGCCCCATCCCTGGCAGTGCTCAAGGCCAGGTTGGACACGGGCTTGGAGCACCCTGCTCCAGTGGAAGGGGTCCGTGCCTGCGGCAGGGGTTGGAGCTGGAGGAGCTTTAAGGTCCCTTCCAACCCAAACCAGGCTGGGGTTCTGGGATTCTATGGCACAGGCACCCATGGCAGGGGTTCAAAGGCTTCCTGCCCCCATCCCACAGCCCCACCACTGATTACCCTGGGCTTTGAGGCTAATGCCCAACACCTGACCAGCTTATTCTCCTGAGTCTATTATCAGCTTAAGGACAAGGACATCTGCTCCCCAGAGCTGAAGGAGTCCTCAGCCTGGAGCAGGAGAGCAGGACCGCAGCCAGCAGCATCCCCCTTTGGAGGGGTCTCTGAGCATCGCCACTGCTGCGAGGGGCAGCCCTCGTCCCCCGAGGTGAGTGACTGCTCCCCCGGGCACACATCGCACCGTGGGGTACCCCTGGTTTAGGCCAGCAGCTGTGGCTCCTGTGCTCTGCTCTGGGGCATGGCTGGGGAGAGGAGCGGCCACAGGAAGCCAGGAGGGTCTGGGACACACCGGGTTTAAAGCCCAGTTCTGTGATGGGAACAGATCTCAGGCCAGGGCAGCTTGTGCAGGGATCTCCCATAGCCCCTGGGTGGGCTCTTCCAGCCTCCATGGCCCCAAAATCTTCCAGGAGCAGCCAGCAACGCCTCCGGGTGCAAACAGGCGAGGTCAGAGCAAGGAAGGGGCCCCAATGGGCATCATCTGGGGGGGAAGCAGGGACCAGGAGGGTCTGGTTTGCAGAGCTGGCACCCAGGTTCTTACAGCCCAAAGGCAGAAGCCTTTTCCCGAGCTAAGCCCCACTCAAGCGGTCACCTCAAGGCTTGTGGTAGCAAAGAGCTCCTTAGAAACCAGGCTGGGTCCTCCTCTGCCTGCCCTCCAGCTGCATCAGTCACCCTGTGCCCGCTGAGACCAAGGCAATGGCACTCTGGTTACAGCAGACGGTACAAGAAGGGCTTTGAAAGGTGCCTCCTGCTTTTAGAACCTTCTAAAGGTTTTCCTTTAGCATCAGCCCAGCTCCCACCGTGGGAGGAGCTGAGACAGAGGGGTTTGCACCACCAGCAGGGCTGGAGCAATGGTCCTGGGGTGCCCAGCTGTCCCCAATGAGCTGTTTCCCCGTGCTTACAGGGCAGAATGGCTCAGGACATGACAGAGAAGGAGCTGCTGAAGATGGAGCTGGACCAGCTGAAGAAGGAGGTGAAGAACGAGAGGCAGATGGTGAGTCCTGACCCAAAACACAGCGGGGCCGTTCCCTGGCTGTGCTGCAAGGGAGGAGAGCCCCAACCCCTGCCATTGAACCTCCAGCAGGGAGCAGCCCCCATGGGGCTTAGCCCCGTGTCCTCACACCCCCCGCTGGGTGGGATGCTCATGGGCACGGTTCCCCCCTCCTGGCCGCACAAACGGGTTTGCAGGCAGCTCTGCCGTGAGGATTTGATCCCGTCCCTCCCATGGAACGTCTCCTTCCTTGGCAGATCTCCAAGACCGGCAAGGAGCTCAAGGAGTACATCGAGTCCATGGCAGGAGAGGACCCGCTGCTGAAAGGAGTCCCCGAGGACAAGAACCCCTTTAAGGAGAAGGGGGGCTGCACCATAAGCTGACCCCGCTGCTGCTGTCACCGCTGGGCACAGGGGTGCTCCCATGTGCAAGCCGGGACTGTCCAACCCTGCTTTCCCTGTAGTCTGCCCTCGGCACCGGGGGGTCCGGCACCCAAGCGTAGCGCACCTAAGGGCCAGCAAAGGCAGCAAAGCAGAGCAGCAGCCCCCCCATGACCCCTGGCACGGAGATGAGGCTCAGCAGCCAGCACGGCGCCGGCTCTCGGGCTTCCTGCAGGCAGAACTTGTGCATTGGAGCCGCAGCAGCAGCCTGGGCTCCACCGAAACCGCGGAGCTGGGTTCAAGCAGGCCGGGTCCGGAGCTGAGCCCCGCTTGCTGCAGCAGAACCGGGCCCAAGTCAGTTCCTCTCCGTGCCTCCGGCGCAGCAGGGGTCATCCCCACCGCTTCCTCCCCTGGAAACCCCCCCGGCAGCCATGGGAATGCAAGGCCCGGTCCTGCCTGCGCCCACGGGGCTCCGAGCACTGCCCCTGCTGCCCATCAGCTCCGTGCTGCTGCAGGGCCCCACCGCACCGCGGCCCAGCCGCCATGGGGATGGCTGGGAGCAGGCAGGGCAGGACTCTGAGCCCTAAGGTAGCAGTGCCAGGCTGGGATCCCCCTGCTCCCAAGGGCAAACCTCATCCCCTGCTTCATAGAAATAAGCCAGCTCCTGTGCTCAGGAGGGTGATGCTCTGGGGAAGTTTTGGGGCTGTTTGGGGTTTTCTTTTCCTCACCCATCACAGCTACGTGCGATCTTTGGGGAAAACACTCCAAAACTTGCCCAATCTTATTATTTCAGCTCTTTTTATTTGCAGCTCTTCTTATTTCTGAGGGCCCCTCAGGCCCTGTCCCACTCCTGCCTCCTGCCAGCCCACCTCTGACAGCACAGGGCTCCTCAGAGCCCAGACCCGCTCAGCTCCACACATCCCATGGCAGAGTCAGGCCCGGCAAAGACCTCAGGGCAGGAGCCAACCTCGTCCATCCGGTGCTCGGGAAGGGGCGGCGGCGCAGGCAGTTCCCGTTGGGAAGGCTGCGGGTGGACCACGGTGCTGAGGAGCACACGGAGATGGGCCTGGCCCCCAGTTCAGTGCTGTGCTTGAAGGGAGGCTGCTGCCAACCCCACCTGGAGCAGCGTTTTCCTGCCTGCTGGGCCACGGCTTGGTCCCACCCAAGCCAGCCCTGCTCAGCACCGCCTCCGGGACCCCTTCAGCCCCAGCAGCACCCCAGGATGGGCGGTCCCTGGCAGGGACTGACCCAAGGAAGAGGCTTTTCCTCCCCCCCGCTCCCTGCGGCAGCTCCAGCACGCACCCACCCCCCTACCCAACCCAGACCGAAACAAGGTGGTTTTGTTCCTTCCTGCAGACGCTAAATAAACCCCACAGCTCCACCGCGGCCTCTCGTTGTGCGGCGGCACGGGGCAGGGCTGGAGAGCGGCTCCACCGGGGCCCGCGGAGCGCCAGAGCGGCGCTGCCTGGGCTGCGGGGCCGATAACCGGGGCGCGACCGGGTCTCCTGCAGGGACTGACCCCGTTAACCGGCGTTAAACGGCTGGAAAAGTGCGTCAGAGCCGCTAAGCCGCTGCTGAAGGGATTCGGGACGCTTCTGGCCCCAACGGCGGCTTAAGCACTGGCCAAGGCTCCTCACACTGCACGACCGAGACCTGCACTCGCCGGATTCCTACGCTCTAATGCGGCGTCGCTCCACCGACAGCGGGGGGGAGGCGGGGCTGAGGGCGCTTTCAGCCAATAGAAGAACGGAGACGTAGGAGTGACATCCCGCAAAGCCAATCAGCGCTGAGCGCTAGGCTAGCGCTCCTGCCCTCAGCACAGGCCCGCCTCTCCTGCGCATGCGCAGTCGGGAAGCGGCGCCCCCGCACAAAATGGAGCCCGACGGGTGCCGGGGGTGGGATTGGGTGCCCCCGGTTGCCTCCCCTTTGCCCTTCCGCCCCGCTTCACGTCCGCCTCCGTTGCGTTACCGGAACGGGCGGCGGAGAGAGGCAAAAAGAACGCGAGGTCCCACCGAGATTTGAACTCGGATCGCTGGATTCAAAGTCCAGAGTGCTAACCATTACACCATGGGACCGCTGCGTAGCGTGGGTATCCCTGCGCCCTCACTGTACCCCGGTGCCCGACGCCGTCGTGATGCTCGCTCCCGTTATCCCGTTGTTGCGGTGATGGGATTCTGCTTCCTATCCCTGCCTTCCCTCTCCGGTACCGGCAGCCCCAGGAACCCCCCCCCGGGTGGCTCAAGGGCACCGATAGCGACCTTGAGCCACCCGGGAGGGGGTCCGAAAGCTGCTGCACATGCAGGACGCATCCGCATCCTCCCCTCCCATCACCTCCGGGATAGGAAATGCTATCAATCAGTCCTTAAAACCCCGTTAAATCACGATACCGGCCCCTTTTGGGTGCTACCGGCACTGAGGACAGTTCAGAGCATCCTCTGGGATACCTCCGAGCTTCACCGCTGCCGCCTGCGCTCAGTCAGCACCAACCCTCAACACCGATTTGCCCCGTTTGTTTGGGTTTTCTTCTATTTCTCCTTTATTTTTCCTCTATTCCCTCTTTATTTCCCCATTTCCTCTTTATTTATCAATTTTTTTCTATTCCCCCCTCTTCCTCTCCATTTCCTCTTTTATCAATTTTCCCCTATTCCCCCTTTTCCCCTCCATTTCTCTCTTTCTCACTTTTCGCCCAGTTTCCCTTTTCTATTTTTTCCTATTTCCCTCTCTTTTCCCCTTTATTTCTTGATTTTTACTCCATTTCCTTTCTATTTCTCCTTCATATCCTCTATTTCTGTATTTTCCTCCATTTCCCCCTTTATTTTGCCTTTCCTCCCCATTCCCCCTTTATTCTGACTTTCCTCCCCATTTCCCCTTTATTTCTCTATTTTCCTCTATTTCCTCTTTATTTTCCTATTTCCCTCCATTCATTTCCTCTATTTGTCCTCCAACCCCCCTTTATATCTCTATTTTTCCTTTAGCCCTCCTTTATTCCTCTATTTCCTATTTCTTCCTATAATCCTCTATTCCTTTCTCTGTTCCCCCCTCTATTTCCTCTTCTCCACCCCGTACAAACACACACAAACACTTTGTGGAGGGTTTTTTTTTTGCTCATTTGTCTTTTTTTCCTCTTTATTTTTCAATGAAACAGTGGAGTGAAGCGGTTTGTGGCAAAAAAACGAAACCAAACCAAGGAGAAAAAGAACAACCTCGCTGGAAGAGCAACGGAGCCCACGTCCATCCAAAACCCCAACTCCACATCCAAGCCAACAAACTGCCTCACGCGAGGGGACAAGGCAAGAACACGGACGAGAAGAGGAAAGGAGAGGGAAGGGGAGAAAAAAAATCAGCTGAAAAGAGGAAAAACCAATTCTCAACGCAGGAAAGCACAACTGAGCTTCAGAATAGCCTCAAGTTGCATTGGGGTGGCTGCCGGGAGGAGCGGCACCTTTGGGTGCACCCGGCCGGTGGATGAGGAATGGGTGCTCCCAGTGATGCAGAGTGATGCAGCACCCCCAGTTCAGCCCGATCCCCGCCTCACGCTGCCACCAACCCCACCAAGCCACTGGGAAAAGAAGGAAAACCATCCCATGGCCTGCGATTCCAACAGCAAAAGCCAGGCTTGGACTGGGCTGGGGAAGCGGGGAGGATGGAGGCGCACTGCTATGGAAGTAGTGCTATGGGAGAAGGAAGTAGCCATGTTCTAAAGGAAAAAAGGAGATCATGGAAGATTGAGCATTCAAAAGAACACCAGTCACAGCCCAACGTTTTTGGACTGCTGAGGTCTGGAGCTTTTACAACTAACGACCACTTTCAAATGAAAAAGAAAGCCCATAAATTCTATTCTTAAAGAACATTTTTCTTTGGAAAAAGAGAGTAGTTACTTTTTTTTTTTTTTTTTGCTTGTTTTTTACATTTTTTCCCCTAAACTACAGCCTGTGGAGTTGCCACTACCTAGGTTTCCATCTATTGTCGCTAAGAGGTAGATAAAACAAAAATGAATTGGTTATATATAAGGTCGTGCCCCCCAGGTTTGATGTGAGGTGAAGCTGAGGGGCTCCACGGGCACCGGCCCCTTGGGGCTCTCAGGAATAGCTCAGGCTTCCTCTGGAGCCACCCTAAACCCAATTGGGCCGCAGGAGGTGGCAGTGGCACGGGGGGGGCATGGGTTTGGGACAAGTTTTCCTCCCGAAGTCAAGGAATTTGATCCCGAGATGGATCCAGATGCGCTTTGAATGAACCAATGTGATTAACTGCTGGGTAGCGAACACTCACACCGAGTACGGCCATGTGAAGGATTACTTCCTGCCCTGATTCCAGTCAATCCTAATGATTTCCCAGGATGATCTGCCAACAGCGATGGGAGAGCCTGGCAAGCCCAGTCCCATTCCCTGCCTCCTGTCCTGCCGGAGCCATGCCCTTCCCCACTCCGAAACATCAGCAAACTCTTTCCCATTGGATCTGGTGCTGCTTTACCAAGCTCATTTCCCAAACTGGTCCAAAACCAAATGGCTTCAGTCCTGTTGTACATTCTGACTCCTGGGGCTGAAATTATTAACTAAACTTGGGGGGTTTAAAGCAAAAATAATCCCTTTCGGTGTCAGCTCGTGCTGATCTGCAGCACCCGAGTGCTTTCCACAGTTCATAACCCACTGCACTGCCACATGAGTGGGGACAGGCTGCTGCTGTGGTCCAGCAGAGCATCCTGCTGCTGTGGTCCAGCAGAGCATCCTGCTGCCATGGTCCAGCAGGGCATCCCGCTGCCGTGGTCCAGCAGAGCATCCCGCTGCTGTGGTCCAGCACAGCATCCTGCTGCCGTGGGCCAGCAGAGCATCCTGCTGCCGTGGGCCAGCAGAGCATCCCGCTGCTGTGGTCCAGCAGAGCATCCCGCTGCCGTGGGCCAGCAGAGCATCCCGCTGCCGTGGGCCAGCAGAGCATCCTGCTGCCGTGGGCCAGCAGAGCATCTTACCACCACCAATCAGAGGTATCCAGACAACTAAGGAATGCTGTAATGCACAGTAAAGCAGCAGGGATCAACCTCACACCCAAGTCAACCCAGGGTTGAATTTTAAAGGGTCCAACTTAGCCACGGTCCCACCCCACCACATCCCAGCATCGTGCAGAGCCTTCCTCATCCACTCTCCTCTTCCACCACACCGCTCTCCCGAACAGCCAGGACACCAAAGCGGCCTCCCCACCAGCCAGGAGGGTCTCTGCTGAGCTCAGGGGGGCTGGAGGCCAGATCCTGCCACGGGGGGCAACAAGGGACCCTCCATCCTTCCCTTGGGGCCTCCCACCAGCTCTGAGGTAGTTTGCACGTGTGTGTTTCCAGCTCCAGCACCTGCACGGTCTCTGCACTAAAACTCCTGATTCCAGAGCCTTGGGCTGGTTTTGCTCCGCTCTGCATCTCCTCCCCATCACCAATGAGTTAACAAAAAGACATGAAATTAAAACCAAAACACAAACAGAACAAGGAGAAAAGCTGATACGACCAAACGGGGTCGCATCTCTCTCCTCCCCAACACAAAGCCACCATCGGGCATCCCAAATCCATTCTAGCCTTGAATAGTTATTGCCAAGCACCAGATACCCGGCCCATGGCCACCCACCTCCAAGGAGCAGATCGAAGCCTCCCGAGCTCAAGTACTGCTAATTCCCACTGCTCCCAGAGCAAATCCATAGCCAAATCCAGCCCTTTGACTGGGAAAGACTCGGCACGACACAGCCCGAGCCCAGTGCATTAGGAGGATGCTGAAATACATCCGTGCCCTCGGGAGAATACACATTTCACAGGATCACACCGATTCCGTCCAAATGAAACCAAAAAAAGCTACGACAGAAAATAAAAGGAATTAAAAACGACCAAAAGAAAACCAAAAGCAGAAAGAAAAAAAACAACCTCAGAGCTTGAATTCTCCCCAAATAAGAAAAGTTCCAAACCTATCAAAGCCTATGTTGTGTGGAGGCAGGGGCAGGGAGGGAAGACCTACACCAATAAGAACTTAACTTAAAGAAGTCTTCAGCTGCCTTAGAGCAAGCCTGCATTTCTGATCTTTGCTTTTCCAGAGCCCAGAAACCATTCCCAACAGCAGGAGCTTCACAAAGGTTTTTCCCTCTGGCACTGATTCACTGTTTAACTTCCGCTCCTTGCTCCCACTCGTTCTGTACTAATGCAATGAAACCAAACCCCAAACCTAAGGCCCAGGAAACAGAAAATGAAGCTTTCAGGCAGTTTCTTTCCAATATTTACACTGGATTTTCCTCTGACTCCATCAAACCCTTCCCCGTGCATCAGCCAGGTCAGGCTGCAGGGAGGGAGCATGGTCCAGGCAGCGCTGCCAAGCCCAAGGATGCTCTTGACGCCTAAGAAATCATTTAGAGCTTGGAAGAGAAGAACCGTTGGATTTGGGGATTCTCCTGTTCCTTTTCCTCTCTTTGTCTCCAGCTGCACAGCAGAAGCCTCCAAGAGCATTAAAGTGAGGTGAACCCCTAAATCCAAGTCTCTCCATCACATGGTGGTGGCTGGCTCCAGCGATGCTCTGCACAGGACACAGCACCAAGAAGCACCAAGTGCTTCCAAGACATAAACTGGCCCATCCTCACACCAGCCCTATGAGGTAGGAGAGCAGCATCACCCCCAGGGGGGGAACTGAGGCACAAAGCAGCACTTGGGTTTCCTTTCCAACCCTGTTCCCAACGCTGCCCACAGGCTCCCTATATCCACTTAAAAGCTCTGCATCCCCATTCCCCCATGGAGAAGGATGTTTCAGGATACCCCCATGTACCCCAGGATGGGGCAAGGGCTGGGGCTGCTCCTTGCTCATGGGGAAGAAAAACAATGGCAATGAAAAATAAGGTTAAACCCAGATTATTTCTGCTGTGATAAAAACGAGGCAGGGAGGAGGCACCGGCACCTCTCACCGCTCCATATGGAAATTCCCCCTCAATTACCTCTTATTCCCGAACCCAGCTGCTGAAGGAGCTGCCATGGGACCAGGGATCCCTCCTGCTTGCTTTTGGGGTTCACTCCCATTATTTTCCCCTGCTTATTCGCTCCATGCATGACCCAGGGCTCGCTCGAGTCTCCTGCCACCCCTCTCATCCAGCTGTGCCAGGGATCCCAGCTTATCCCACTTTTGCTCTTCCCAGCTCAGCGTGGCTCCAGAGAAAGATGGGAGAAGCTTGGAAGCACCCTCCTTACTGCAAATCACTTCATATATATAAATAATTTCCCTAAGGAAAACAGAGAGATCCCCCTGGAAATAAGCACCAATCACTCCTACATTACGGCACCGGGACCAGCTTGGGGGTGGGAAAAACATCCACGGTTTCCCTGAATCATCAGATTTTAGGTCATCTTCTCACTGCAACAAGCGGATCAACAGGACTGGGGGTGCTCAGGAGTGGGATTTGGGGTGTTTTGTTGGGGTTTTGTGATGTTTTCCTTATCAATGACACAGCTTGAAGCAGTTAACCCGAAACGCTTGCTGTTGGAAAGACAATTCTCATCCCGAATTCTGAATACACGGGTCTGTGCAAGGCTGGAATTAAAGGAAAAAAAAAAAAAAAGGGAAGTAGAAAGCCACAGGTTTCAAGCAATAAAACTGTTTTTCCCAGGAGAAATGCCAGGTTTCCTAAAAAAAACCAGAGAAACCAATGAGGAAAACCCCATGGAAGCCCCTCTCCCATCACATCAAGGGGCAGGAGCTGCTGCCAGGGTGCTGCCAAACCTGAATTTTGCTCTTTTGAGCCCAAATTTATGGGGAAAAAAAAAACCAATAAAGGGTCAGAGCTTCCCTACTGGAGCTGGGCTGGATCCCATGCTCTGCTCCCACCCCAAACCTGTCAATGGGAGAGGTGCAGGTGCTGGGCTGAGGACGGCAGCACTTGATCCATTATAAACCCTTGGTATTTAACCCCTGTTCAAGCAAGGGCTGTTTGCTTGCAGCTGAAAACCAGCAAGATGGGACTTTAAAAACCCAATAAACCAACCCTGGGAACCTTTTAGAGCACGCAGAGGAGTTCAGGCCCATTGGTCCTCAGGATCGGATCCCTCTTTCCTCTCCTCTATGCATCCATATTAAAAACGTGGCTCCCATTCTTTTACATTGCTTTTCCCTCTTTTTTTTTTTTTCCTTTTTTTTTCTTTTCCTTTTTTAAAACCATTTAATCCTCGGTAAAACGGAGGCAAATCTCTGTCAAATACTTAACAGCATCATAGTGGAGAAGATGGTTTCGACGCTGCCTCCGTGGCAACCCAGGAGGCCGATTCGGTTGGGTTCTGGGATATATATATATAAAGATATATAAATATATAGATATATATATATGGCTTCCAAGTGTTTGTATAAAAATTGCCTGAGCTGGTGTGGTTTCGATACCAGCAAACCCCTTGTACCCCACTTTGCATAGTCAATGCTGCCCTAGGAGTCCATCCTTGCATCCCGGGAGTGGAAGAGTTCTCATCCCAAAGCTCTTTCGTACTTTGATTTCGCGCTGGAGGTGGCTTGAGAAAAGGCCTTTTGCAGGCAGTGGCAGGTTTTTGGTGGGTTTTTCTCACTGGAATTCATTCCCAAAAAAAAAAGGAGAAAAAAAAAAAAAGGAAAAAAAAAAGGAAGAAAAAAGAAAAAGCAAGAAATTAAGTTTTCTCCAATCGAAAAAGAGTTGGTGGCTGTGATTTATCCAAGGTCTCGAAGAGTCGCGACATGTGACAGCCCTTGTGTCGTGCCGACATTCCTGACATGGCATGAAAAGGCCAGAAACGTAATGAAGAAGCTGCTGCCATCTTTTCCACTATGGGATTCCTGGCGTTCTCCATAGAGAGCTCGTCCCACCTGGGTTTGCCTGCGCGTAACTCCTGGCTCAGAAGAAATTCTCCAACTTCTCTGGTTTTCATTAAAAAAATAAAATATTCAAGACTATTCACGACTTTTATATAAAATATCAGCAAGCCCCAAAGAAAAAACTAAACTCAAGGAAAAAAAAAACAAAAAACCCAAAAAACACAAAACACCAAAAACATCCATTGCTGAGGTAACGTCATACCTTGAGGTAGCTTTTTTTTTTTGCTTTTATCTTCTTTTTTTTCTTTTTTTTTCCTCTTTTTTGTCTTTTTTCTTCCTCCCCCGGTGGCGTTGGCCTCTCATTGCTCAAACACACAGCAAGACCTGGCCTGCCCCCCTTCCCCACACCTCCCTCTTGCTGCAGTGGTCTCAAGGACAGGACCTGCTGCCACCTTCCCTTCTCAATGGAAGCCCCCCTGCTGCATCTCAAGCTGGGCTTGGACCTGGAGGAGGAGCCCAGGGAAAGGCTGGGCTCTGGTTGGGACAAGGACTGCTTCAAAGCACCACGTTGAGGTTGGGGCCCAATTCCCTCCTTTTAGCTGCAAACCGGCTCACCCGGAGCTGCTCCCACGCCTCCTCCCCCCCAATGCATGGGATCCAGCGTCATCCCTCTCCCTACAACGAATCCGATGCTGCTTTCCCACCCTCCCGCTCCAATGTGCGGGAACAAGATCAGTGGAAACCCACGTTTTGGCTGGATTTGCAGTGGGGAAAACCACGTTGTGGCTGCCCCACCATGGAGACGAGCCCTTCCCCTGCCTGGAAGAGGCGGTGGCAGCAGTCACTGTCCCTTCCAAAGACTCACTATTCAAACCAAGTCATCCCAATAGAGCTACAATAGCAAATCCACCGAAGAGTGACGGGAATCAGTAACCAGCTTACATTCCATTGACGTGTGTATTTGGTATCGTCTCACGAGAACAGTGATTCTTACTGCAGAAAGGAGGAGGGTGGGGGGGGTTGTTCTTTAAATAATGGAAAACTGAGAAATATGCACCAAATGTGCCCAATTTCAAGACTTTTTTTGCCCCACTTGGAGAGATTTGGAAGAAGGGGTTGGAATGAGGTGGATCTTTAAGGTTCCTTCCAACCCAAACCGTTCTCTAGGACACAAATGGCCCCAGGAGAACTCACTCATTAGAAGACTCCCTGCATGTTTCCTCAACCACTCCAATGGGATTTTGGGCCACAAACCTCCTGTTCCAGGAGGGGAAATCAAGGCTGAGGATGCACCAAAGGAACTGGGCAGCAAAGCCAAGTCCCCTGCACTGGGCATCGCCCTGCTCAACCCTCCAAGCCCCCAAACCATTCTGCATGGGTTTAGTTCCCACCAGCTGCTTAGTAAGGAGCTGAAGATGAAGTCAATGTTTCCTACCAAGCAGGGGTGGGTTTTTGCTTTTCTTCCTCTTTTTGGTGGTGGTTTTATTGCTGCTGCTTGAAGGGAAGGAAAAGCAAAGGTGCTTCCTCAGCCCTTCCCTTCCCCAGGCCGTTTGCCTCATCTCTAGGACTGGCTGTCACCTCCTCATGGGGAAAACTGGTCACTTTTGTCCCACTCCTGCCATTATTTCATAGGCTTAAAAAGAAATAAAAATAATAATAATAAAAAAGGGGGAATCTTCCTTTAAACTGACCCAAAAATGAAAAGAAACATCCAAAAAACTGAAAGGGGTGTGGGGGGGGGATCATCCTGGGCAATAGAGGTGCTCTCCTGGCTTCTAAGGCTCCACAAGGCACTGCACTGCAGGCAGCACAGGCAGGAGGAATCCTGCCCTCCTGCCCGCCGGTGGTTTGGAGGCTGGAGCGGTGCAGAGCTCCCAAGGGACTCAAATCCATTTGGTGCTAACAGGAAGGGGGGATATTTCCTTTAATCATCACTTTTTAGCCCGCAATGGATCTTGTTACCAACGAGGGTTGGTAAAAATCCACCGGGATTTCTCTTCCCAAAAAACCTAAAACTCATCCAAATGAACGGCTCCAAAAGGCTTAAAGCCACCCTGGGAATACCCAACCAGCTGCAGGAGGGAGGGAGGGAGGGGAGATGCAGCCACGGGGCTGGGATGGGAACCTCCAGAGGCTACTTAAATGAGAGGGTGAATGCTGCACCCATGGAAGGGGACTCAGCTTCACCGTCCCCATGCGCCCGGGGCCGCGCTGGCCTCAGCATCGCTGGCACCCAGCAGCACCTCTCACATCATTTAAGTAGCTGTCCCGGCACGCGGAGCTGAAAATGGATCCAATGGTTTTTCCTTCCCCTAGCCATCTACCTCGGAAGCCAATCAAACCTGCCTTCAATCTCCATGGGTTAATGAAAAGTTAGCATCTGTCTACGGTAACTGATTCCCAGCCACTCTTTAAGCCTGGCATCGGCTCGTTCCGCTTGTCCCGCTGGTGTCGGTGCTGCTCTCATTTCCTCCGTGCCTGTGTCTGCCCGCTCTGTCCCTTCTGGTGCTGCTGCTTCACCTGCGCCAGGATGTCCCGGATCTTGCGCTGAGCCATCTGCGGATGGGAAGAGCAATGGGGGGAGCAGGGGGACAACGCAGGTGAGACCCCAGGGGCATGGGCAATGGCTCCGCTTATTGTGAGAGGGCACAGAACCCCAGCCTGGTTTGGGTGGAAGGGAGCTTAAAGCTCCTCCAGCTCCAACCCCTGCCACAGGCAGGGACCCCTTCCACTGGAGCAGCTTGCTCCAAGCCCATGTCCTGCCTTCTCCAGGCTGAACAAAGTCAAGCAGATCAGATGCTGCAGTGTTCAGCAGGGCCGGGTGAAGCAGCTTCTGCCAGCCCCTTCCTGCCCCCAGAAGCTGGATTGGGAAGGTCGCATCCCCATACACATGCACCCTCACATCTCTCCCTGCTTCCCCTACCACCACCCCATCACCCACAGCAGGAAGCACAGCTCACCATCACCCACTTCTGCAACCACCATCAGAATAAAGCCCCTGAGAGGAGGACACACGCACGGGCACAACCCCATACGAGCCACCAGAGAATCCACCACCACTTGGGCAGGAGCTGCCCGCACTGTACCTGGCTGGCGTAGAAGTGCCCAATGATCTTCACAATGACCTGTTCATTCTCATCAGGGGTCTGGTCCCGCGGCACCACCACCTCTGCTGCCGTTAGGTTCTGCAGCTCATTGACCTGCAGGGAAAGGGCAGAGACACCCCCCCCCGGTCACTGTGTGGGAAGGAAATCCCAACCAATCCCATGGGAAACCTGCCCCAGGCACTGGCATGGAGCAGCCACCCCCCAGGGCCATCCCTCCCCATCCCAGCACCGCTCCTGCTTACGGTTTTGCCCCCTTTGCCGATGACCCTGCCCGCGGCCGAGGCAGGGACCCGGATGTGCGTCTCCAGCTTCACTTCTTCCTTCGGTCCAAAGAAGTTCTCCTCCTTCAGCTTCCCATAAATCCTGCCTTGTGCCTGGGGAGAGGAGGGAGCCCATCAGGCACCACCCGAGGTGTCCTATCCCCCCCATGGGACAGCATCCCACTAAACCCCACTTCCTTGAGCTCTTAACCCAACTCATCCCATAGGGGATGACCCTGGGGGGGGTCGGAACTGGGCTGAGCATCCTCCTCCTCCCTTCCCAGCTCCATGGGCAGCAGAGAGGGACCCCCTGAACCCCCCCCAGTGACCACAGCGCAGGGGGAACCTTGAACTGAGCTTCCGGAGGGCCCGTGATCACCACCATGCGCACTTTGGAGTCCGGCGTCTCCGGGGGAGCAATCTGGAGGGGGAAGAGAGGCGGTGGCTGCGGTGGGGAGCAGCACGGGCAGGGCGGCCACCGCAGGGCTGGGTCTCCAGCCTCATCACCGGGGCTCCTCCAGGGCTTTCCCCAGCCCGGAAAGGGTTCTCTGGGACAACCCTACCTTGATTGAGGCACTTGCGAAGCGGGAGAGCTGCTTGATGTGCTGGCCCTTCTTCCCAATGATGGCCCCGACCGCCTGCGCGGGGATGAAGACGTGCACCGTCTCCTGCTCCGGAGGCTGTGGGTACAGAGCTTGGTGTCACCACGGGGAGCAAGGCTCCAAGGCCCCTCTCAAGTGATGCCCCCACCTCTCCCAGGGGTGCAGGGCTGAGGCACTGCTGGGTCTGAGCAGCATCCCCTCCACATACACAACAGTTTGAAAGGCCAGATCCTGCATCCGTGCCGGACCTGACCTCGTGCTGACAGCAGGGGATGCTGAAGACATCACCCTGAGCATCACAAGGGTCTGGAGAGCCCTGCGCTGGCAGCAGGAGCAGTTCTGCTGCTGGTGTTCACCTACCATGAAGGAGCTGTACGGCGCGGCCCCAGAGACGCTGCTCGGTGGCGGAGGTACCGCGTTGGAGGAGGCAGGGAAGAGGCCAACCGCAGCCAGGTTAAGGCCAGGGATGAGGTGGGATTGCAACTGAGGGCGAGAGGAGAGAAACGGGTGCTTTTACCAGGGCATCCTCCTGCAGAGCTCCCGTCAGCCGGAACGCGGGGCAGGACAAACCCCACTCACACTCATGGCAGCCACATCGTTCTCGTAGGCTTCCCTCACTTTCTTCATGATCTCCTGCTCGGCTTTGCAGCAGTTCTCAATGGAGCCCTTCACTGTGATGGTCCTTTCGGGGTTGTACAGAGTCAGGTCCTGCAAGCTAATGACAAAGCCACCATCAGTGCCAAAACCAGGCAACCCAACCAGTGGGTGCTGAGCTCTGCAGCCCTGGCGGGATGGGGAGGGGATGCTGAAGGGACACGAAGGAGAATACGGACAATCCAAGACCTGGTTTCCCACCTGACCCCTCTCCTCCTCATCCTCCCCCCCTGCCCCAGGTCCTGAGGAGCCTTACGAGGAGATGGTGATTTTTGTCTCCGTGTCCTGCTCCACTTTCTTCAGGTTTCGCCCTTCTTTGCCGATCAGGCGCCCCACAAAGTTGTTATGGGCCAAGATCTTCAGAGGCACTTCGTCAGCTCTTGAGAGAGGAATGGGGAGAAGCCAACATGAGAAGAGGAGGGACTGGGTACAGGGGGATGCGGGGAGCTCAAGTCTCTTTGCTTGCAGCCCCCCACACCAAAGCTCCGGCACACATGGGGAGAGCATCACAAGGACCTGGGTGTTAGGATGGTACCACAGCCTGCGGAGGAGGGATGCACAGGCACAGGAAGGCGGGGGGGAACCTTACGTCTTGGTGTCCTTTGCCTCCTTCTGCATGATCTCCAGAATCATCTTGCAGGCAGCGGAGCAGCCCTCAGGGGTGGAGTGGATGCTGATGGCTTTCTCGGCGGCTCCTGCGTTTTCTTTCCGGTGCACATCAATCCTGGAAGCACAGGACGGGAGCTGGGCTGCAGGAGGTGGCTCCGCAGCTCCCCAGCAGTGCAAGTGCCGGCTGCTCCGCTCCCCATGGAGCTCACACTCCACTGTAAGGTTATACGTGCTCCAGGAAGGCAAGGGGAGTTAATCCTGGGCTCGAGGCTCGGTGCGGACGCAGCGGTCAGGAGCTCAAATCACACAAACCCAAATAAGGCACCAGCATCTATTTATTTTAAGCAACAGGAGTGATTAAGTGGTGGAGCAAGCACGTGCCTGGGGGCTGGGCTGGGCTCTCCATCACTCCCCATCTTAGATAAAGCCTTCCTTGGGGGACAAGAGCCGGAGCCAACACAAGCTCAGGGGTCAAACGCAAGAGCAGGGGGGCGAAGCTCGACAAGAACGTGCTAAATGAGGCTGCTCCCCACGTGCTTGCCTGGGTCCCATCCCAGCCAGGGTGGCCCCAGCAAAGGGAGACACGCAGGGAAGAGCAGGCAGAGAGCCTGGCTGGGCCAGGGCACGGGAAGGCGGCTCCTGGACACTGCCCTGCACAGCACAGCGGGGCTGGAGGGGCCTGGGGTTTGAGTGAGCCCTCAGCAGGTTTGTGATGACCCCAAGCTGTGTGGTTCGGTTGATCCACTGAAGGGAAGGAATGCCATCCAGAGGGACCTTGACACACTTGTGAGGTGGGCTGATGCCAACCTCATGGAGTTTAACCATGCCAAGTGCAAGGTCCTACACCTGGGTCAGAGCAATCCCAGACACAGCTACAGGCTGGGCAGAGAAGGGATTCAGAGCAGCCCAAGGAGAAGGACTTGGGGGTGCTGGTCGATGAGAAAATGAACATGAGCCAGCTTCAGTGTGCGCTTGCAGCCCAGAAAGCAACCGTATCCTGGGCTGCATCAAAAGGAGCGTGACCAGCAGGGCGAAGGAGGTGATCCTGCCCCTTTATTCTGCTCTCGTGAGACCTCACTTGGAGCATTGTGTGCAGTCCTGGTGTCCTCAACATAAAAAGGACATGGAACTGTTGGAACAAGTCCAGAGGAGGCCACGAGGATGCTCAGGGGCTGGAGCACCTCCAGTATGAAGATCGGCTGAGAAAGTTGGGGCTGTTCAGCCTGAAGAAGGCTGCGTGGAGACCTCAGAGCATCCTTCCAGTATCTGAAGGGGGCCTATAAGGATGCTGGGGAGGGACTCTTCATTAGGGACTGTAGTGATAGGACAAAGGGTAATGGGTTAAAACTGAAACAGGGGAAGTTTAGATTGGATCTAAGGAGGAAATTCTTTCCTGTCAGGGCGGTGAGGCACTGGAATGGGTGCCCAGGGAGGTTGTGAATGCTCCATCCCTGGCAGTGTTCAAGGCCAGGTTGGATGAGGCCCTGGGTGATATGGTTTAGTGTGAGGTGTCCCTGCCCATGGCAGGGGGGTTGGAACTCGATGATCTTAAGGTCCTTTCCAACCCTGACTATTCTATGATTCTATGACTCTATAATCCAACCCCATAAATCACTGCGCGCCACAAAGGCGCAAAGCAGCGCGCGGGAGAACAGACTCACTTGGACTGCGTCTGCTTGGTGATGTTCCTGATGGTGGCCCCCTCCTTGCCGATGATGGCCCCCACGTACTGGGTGGGCACCAGGAGGCGGAGCGGGATATCCACCGGCTGCTGCTTCACCGGGGCCCCCGCCGTGACCGGGGAGCCCTGCCGGGGAGCCCCCCGCGCCCCGAAGCCGCCGCGCCGCCCGTTCTCCGGGCCCTGCAGGGACTGCTCGTCGGGGATGTAGGAGACCTTGAGCGCGTGGTTCTCCAGCTGGTGCCCGTTCAGCTTCATGATGGCTCTGGAAGGGGAGAGGGGCGCGTGAGGGACCCATCCTGCAGCACTCCCGCATGGAGCAGCAGCATCAGCTGGACCCAAACCAGGGTCACAACGGCCAACACTGGGAGCAGGGAAAGGAGACGCCACTGGGGCTGTGGGGACCTGGATGAACCCAAATGTCTTAAGGGGAGCCCTCAAGCCCCCGGGGCAAGGACAGGATCCTGCAGGGAGCGATTCCCACATCTCCTCCGCAGGATTTGTGGCCAGCATCAAAAACCTGGCAGGACTTCAGGGACTGCAGGAGCTGAAAGCTGTCGATAGATGGGGCTGGCAGCAAGAGCAAGGAGGCAGCTTTGGCCAATGCTCTCCGAGGTTCCAAAGCAGTCAGCGCCTCAAAATAAACCCGCACCAAACCCAAAGGGGCTGAACTGAGCCTTCCCCTGCTCACAGCCCCATCCCTGCAGGCTGCAAAGGGATCAGAGGAAGATGCTTGATGAAGCAGCGCATCCCTGGAGCAGGAAGGAGCAGGGGAGAGCAAAACTGTCAGCACGACAGCCAGGGCAAAAAGAACACAAAATGAACAGCATGGAAAAGCCTGATCTTCCCTGGGCAGGATGGGAAGGGAGCTGCAAGCATCCCACTGACCAGCCAGCAGCCAGGGAGGACCTGTGCTGCCTGATGCCTACTAGCCCCTGTGTTATTTGGTCTCATTATTGCTTTTTCCAGAGACAAAACTCCTAAAATCATGGAAGTAACAAGGAAATCTCCATTTTTCCTTAAGGAAAAAGTTCCGGTTTTACTCTCTGAACTGCAGAGAACAGCCTAAAATCCTCAATGCCCGTCTGCAGGTGAAGGAAACCAGAGCTCGGGCACTGCGCGCTCAAAGATTCCCCTCATTTTTAGCACTATTTAGGGATTTGGGGATAATCCGGCCCCCAGAATCCTGCTTTCCACAGGCAGGGAAGGGGCTGGGCTGCAGCAGGGAGGGCAGCCCCAGCTCCCCGGGGCCTGCAGGGCACTTACTGCCTGGTCTGCTCCCGGTTGGCGTAGGTGACGTTGACCACGGCCGTCTCGCTGTCCGTGTTCACTGCAACAAAGAGGGGCAGGGATTAGGAAGGCACCGGGAGCACCTCAGAGCAAGGCCTTGCAAGCGCTTTCCTCCTGCACTGAGGCTGGGGCTCACCCTGGGCAGCACAGAGCATCCTGCTCTATAGAAAGGAGCCTGAATGCACCCTGCAGTAAAGCCACCAAAGGCAAGTCCATGCTGGCATCCTGCACCGGAGCCCAGGGACAGTCCCAGGAGCTGCTCAGAGCCCGATTTTCCATTTCTAAGAGGGTTTTGTAACTCTGCTCCCATCAAACATCCCAGGGCAACGTTAACCCCTCCTGCCTCAACAAATCACCATGAGGGGCGGAGGTAAAACGGAGATGGATGCTCCCCAGGCAGCCTCGAGAGAGCATCCTGCATCGTGCCCAGCACCGGCGCCTGGTGGGTACCATAGGGGTGACAGGAAGGATGCACCCAGAGCAGGGACACCCAGAGGCACTCCTCTTAGCAGTAGGGAACAAAACAACAAGAAAACCCCAATCTTTAGCCATGATTTCTGCTGGCAAAGGAAAGCTGCGTCCATCCTCACCCTTCTCCCCACCCAAAATGCTGGGGCAGAGAATACCTCAAATACACCTTTTGAGTCCTACCTTGCTCACAGTTTTCTACAGTGCCATACTGGGCTAGCAAACCATCCAGCACCTGGAAAAGGGAGGGAAAAACACCCCACTTTACACTGGGATTGTTGGGACAGAGCAGGGAAATGCACTCAGTGAATCAAGGCAGCTTTCAAGTCATGAAGATTTCACAAGCAATCAGATGCAGGAAGCTCCTGCCTGCCCCAGGACACTGGAACAAGAAGTCCCATGAGCTGGTGGGAATTCAGGATCCATTTTGTTCCTTATACATCAGATAAATCCCATAACCCTGTTATTAATGGGGATTTTTGTTGGTGGAGCTCGCGTTGCTTCTACCAATTGATTTTACTGCTGCACTGGAAGAGGAATGCGCTACGTGGAAGCAAGGGTCTCCTATTAGACCCAATTAATAACCAAGCAAAGGAGAAGTTAACTTGAATCCTAAGTACAGAAACCTGGGAAGGGGAATGAGTCCTTAAATCCCACCCACCCTTCCCCACGTGCTCCTCTTACCTCCCATCGCAGCTGGGGGGGGATATTCCGGATCTGGATTTTCCGGCTCCTGGAAGAAAAGGGAAGTGGTTAAAAAGCAGGTTTGGTGTCCAGAACACAGCCCCCCATGCACACACACACACTGAGCCCCTGCACATGGATGTGAGGAATCAAGCCTTGCCTCTCCATGCACTGCCTGCATTCCTGAGGCTGATGACAGCCGGGCAATGCTGGGTTTGACACGGGACCCAGCTCCAGCAGCCGAGATGGTCCCAGGCTGCTTTTCCCCTCGAATCTGGGCTCTTCCCAACCTCGCTTTTCCCAACATAGAAACTCTTTTTGTGATTCCAATGCCAAATTTGCCCTGGGGGTGCTGTGTGTGTGTGTGTCCATCCTGCAGGCAGCTGAGAACAGCCATGTGTGTGTGTGTGTGTCCCCATCCTGCAGGCAGCTGAGAGCAGCCATGGGTGCACCCAATGCACCAGAGCACATCCACAGCACCACAGCTACAAGCACCCCAAGAGCCCCCAGCCTAAAGGCAATGACATCTTCAGGTACCCGAGGCTTTGAAGGATGCAGCTTTATGGATGCAAGCCACATTCAAACAGATCCCTATGGATGGCTGCTCCCGCCCATTGCCCTGTTCTTCAAGAACAACCAAACCCACTGAATGTTAAGATGCCCAAAGATAAGGAAGATGAATGCAGGTGGCTCAATACTGGGTAAATACCCTTGGACTTGCTAGACACGGACCCAGGCCTCAAATCCAAAGCATTTATGTGTGAAATAATCCCCCCAAAAAAGGAGATAAAACAAGATTTTGGATCCTTATCTTCTAATTACACAACTTGGAAAAGGGGCTCAGCTCATGTGTCCGAGAGAAGCCTCAGCATGAAACTGCCCAGAGCCATCGATGCGGTTCAGCCGCTCAGGTGAGGATGGAGCCTCCTCAGCCCCTTCATCCTGCGAGGCAAACGCAGCCGCCCCCAGCATCCCCCCCAACCCACGCTTCCCAAGCAAAGCCTCGCACACCAGCACCCTGCAGGGGCTGCCTCTGGTCGCTCCGTTTCAAACAAAACCAGAGCCAATGGTTCCCAAAGTCGCCGAAGATTCCCAAAGGTTCCAATGGATGCAAGAGGCAGATGTGGGGCCGCTCCCCCCCCCAAGTACAATGAAGCACAAGAGGTTTCCCAGCGCTCCCACCAGCTCAGCCTCCGACACAGCACATTTTGCCGCTGCTCCAGATGCAAACCAGGTGGACGACGGGAGAAGAAACCAACCCAACCCTTAAAATCCCAGCGTGTTACGAGGGGCTGCAGGAAGCCGGGCGGGGGGCGGATGACTCTGAAACCAGATCTCTCCTTTACATGCTAATGCACACCCTGAAGTGAATGGGAGAGAGGTTAAGAGATCCAGAATGCGAAGAATGTCCCAGTCCAGGCAGGGTCAAAAGGATTTGAAGCCACGGAGGAAACCCTGAAGGTCTCCCACCGCCCACCCCTGCCACGGAAACTTCTCCAGATAGCTCCAAGCATCTGCATGGGCAGAGCATGTGTTCCGCACATACGTGACCAGAATCCAATGTGCTATGGAGAGAAAAGAGCCATTTATGTCCCCACACCGTCAGTCTGCTGGTGGCATCTCATTTGCTCCCCCTAAGAGCCCCCCTAGCACCAGATCTCTCTCTGGGCTTGCTGGAGCAGCCAGCAGGCAGAGCATCACCCGCATCCCTGACGGCAGGGAAAGGTGTGGGGCTGCTCTGCCCCTCACCATGGCTTTTATCCCATGTTAATTACCCAGCAATTCCTCCCGTCCCAGCCACAGCACCGGGATTATTCCCTGCCTCCAACACCAACGGGTATTAAATCCCCACAAGGCCATGCTTGTAAGGAGAGAGGGGTCTCTTATCGGCTCAACCAGGTGAGCAGCACAAAGCAGAGCACGATCCCACGACTTCTGGCCCAGCCCACCCCAGGAGGGTGGAAAGGGAGCTGCATCCATCACCCGTCGGTGAGGTCTGGCTCCATAGGGAGCTGCCCCGGAGCGGGTGGAAATTCCCCTCCGAGGATGCTCGGCTCCGGCTGTGTCCGGGCGCTCGGCAGCGGCTGCGGTCACAATTACAGAGGAAGTCAGGAATAAATCACCCCTTTGCTGGGAGCAGGTCCCGCTCCCTTTGAATCCTCGCCCGCTCCCACCTCCAAACACATGAGGAACGCCGGGAGACGGCAATTCCCGGCTTCCCATTCACGGCTGCCAAAGGCAGGAGCTCCTCCTCCTCCTCCTCCTCCTCCCGCGCCGCTGAAGGGACCCGCACAGCATCCACTCGCCCGAGCTCAGCTGCCAAGAGCAGTGCCCGTGCCCCTGGGGTGGGCAGGAGCCCCCGACCAGCACCTCCAGCCCGGGCAGAAGGCAAGAGCTTTGCCGGACGCTGCTCCGCTTATGGCAAAGGGAGAAGCCTCCCAGATGCTCGGGATGAGCTGGAACGGAGCGATGGACCTGGTAAAGAAACGGCTCTTTGCAGATCTGGGCACTCCTGTGCACGCTGGTGCCTTGCTTCCACTTGAAAAGAGAAGAAATGGAGGGGGAAAGAGGAGGGTGATCAAGTGCTGGGATGCGAGAGGAACCGCGGGTCCCAGGGATGGATCCTTGGGTGGCCCTGCCCCTGCTCCATGCCTGCGATGATGGGATTTGAACATCTCACTGCGCCCATCCTTCAACCCTCAAAACCCCGTCCATGCGCCCGGCAGCTCCATGTGGATCTGCAGCGCATCCTGCAGGACCGGGAGGCAAAGGAAGCCTTTGGAATCTCTCCAACCAGGGACTGGATTCACCAGAGGGGGAAATCCCCCTCCCTGATGTACCTGGGCTGTAACAGGACCAACACCACAGACAAGCATCCTTGGGTCCTCCCCTGGCGACTCACCACAATGGGCTCCATCAATGGCTTTCCTTCAGCCGGCTCTTTGAGCAGCTCCACGCACCAACAGGTTAAACCTCACCAGAGGGAACAGCAAGGAGACGGAGCAAAGCACCAGGGAGCAAGCGGAGAACCCGGGAAACGGGCAGGGGGATCCCGCAATAGGAGATTTCCCACCTTGTCCCTCCATGCCCATCCACACCAGATGGATCCAACCCAAAGGACACCGGGAGGAACCTCTTCTCCAGAAGGGAGAAACCAAGGTGAGATGGGAAACGTGGCAGCAAAGGAAAGCTTCGTTCATTCAGGATACACCCACTGCTGGTCTCCAACAGCCCTGGAGCCAGCTGGAAACCACTGTGTCCCCAATGCACCCAGAGCGCACCCGGCATCGCATCCTCAGAGCCGGGCACCCTTGGGTGCATGAAGACTGCATCCACCTGCACAGCAAACCCTGACCAGGCAGGGGAGCAGAACCACCCTTAAAACACCCCAAAATCAGTTCTGGGTTGGGGGGGGTGTCTGATTTGGTTTTTAGTTTTTAAATCTCACTGGGGAACATCCCAGAGCAGGTCCATCCCTTGGGATGCAGCCCCAGACACTGCCTTTGAGAGCGTGGCCAGAGCCTCCTGCTCCAGTAAGAATCCACTGGTAATTCCCTGGCACGGTGGCAGGGACCCAAGGAAGGGGCACTGGTGAGTTAGGAGCAGGCAGCCTGGCCAGGGGCCACAGGTCCCAAAGCTGCATCCACAGGGAGAGGAGCATCCCTGCATCCGCAGCCCCTGAGCCTGGGATAAACTGGTCACTCCATCGTGTTCCTGTACATGGAGGTGCCTCCTTCCCACGTTCCTGGCACATCGAGCCTCACAGCGCAGGCAGGGGCTCACCAATGGACCAGTGCATCACCAGCACTGGCTGGATGCAGGGATGGGCGCTGGGAGGAGGATGGAGGTGCAGGATGCTCAGGTCACCCTCACCATTGCCTTTGGAGCGTTTAGCCCCAAACGACATTCCCTGTGATCCAGAGGGAACAGACACTCACAACCACCTGTGTTACCAGCACATGATGCTCTACAAGGGAGCAATGAGAAGCTCCACGCACAGGGTGAAACAGCCCCATGGTGTGGCTACATCCAGTGCAGCCAGACCTAGGGAGTTCCTTCCTCTTCCCCCATGGATCCAGGTTTTGTTGGGACAACTTGATTGCTCTTTAGCCCCATTCCAGCCCTGAGCACTGCAGCAGGAGCTGCTGGTCTGGCACTGCTCTGCATTAGGGGTCAGCAATAGCTCTACAGTCACACCAGAGCCACACACAGCCCAGACACACTGTCTGTGGGGTGTTGCTGCAGCATCTCCCTCCTCCATCCACCTCCATGCATTCCTCAAAGCAGAAGTGACTGAAGACACTGAGATGCTGAGGGACCAAGCACTGACAGCAAAGTACCTCCAAGCTCTGGGCTCTTCCCCAATCCCAACCCCATCCTGGCATCTCCTACAGAACCATTGACAGAGCTCCTCAGGGCTGGAGGAGAAAGTGCAAAGCCAGAGACATGGGGGAGACCCTACTAGAACTGAACAACCTCAATGATGGCTTTTCAATCAAATGCAAATGCTATGCAAATTTGGGGGCTGAAAACACAGTGCATCCCTGATTCAATTAACAGCATTTCATTTATCTAGTTAGGCTTTGATTCAGGAAAGCACTTAATCCTGTGCTTAATGTGGTGGTGTTGGTGTTTTTTAATGTTTTAAACATTTCTTAATAGGAAAATGTGGTTGCTAAGACACAAACGTTGCCAAGGGGACTCGGAGGAAAGTTGTAGCAGGAATTTCTTGCTTTTCCCTTATAAACTGAGAGGCTCCCGATTTGCCGGCATCTCCTGGAAGCAGGAGTACTATCCCTCACCTCCCTGCATCGACCAGGAAACACAAGCACACGGCAGATCCCTATTACACCTCCGAGCATCATCCCCCCCCATGGGATCTGCTCCAGGTTTTAGCCCCTTCTCCTGTGATTTGCCTTCTGCATTCCCCTTCCAAGCCACCGCAGCTCCACCTCCCCGTGCGCTGGTTGGGGTTTGTGCTACCAAACCCACGGACACGAGGACTTCCCAGCAGGACCACGAGGTCCCCATCGGAAGCACTCACACAGC